CCTGACACAAAGCACTAACTTACAAGAATACAAATTAGGTGTGGGTGTGCATGTGTATGCATTGGGGGGGAGGGCACTTTATTTTCAGTAATAAAAAGTAGTTGTATAGTTTGCTGCATAAATAGCTGCGAGCATAACCAGAGTGTGTCAGACATCCAGTTATGCATGTGTTAAAGGTTAATACTATTTGTTCTCAGTACATTTAGTCTTTGCAAATCATGTGCTGACATGCATCCCATTTTGGTATCTGTTCACACACTTGGGTAATGATGCGTAGAGCAGGAGCTCATGCTTGTGCCATTCAGTAGTATTTAGTAAATTGAACTTTTGTATAAAGGTCTTAGAAAATGGCAAGGCAGAAAATGGATATCTTCTTGCTGCTAATTTTATCTTCCACCTCACGCGCCTTTCTGGAGATTAAAGCATTATGAATCTATTCACTACTGAAAGTTATTTCAAATTTCATGGCACATATCAGGATGCAGAAAAGCAAGTACATGTTCACAGCTGTTCCTCAGGTCTCCCTGCTGGAAATACAACCTGTTAAGCTACTAGATTTCTGCTTAAAATAACTAAAAATAATGAAATAAAACAATTAACTGGTGAATCCTCATTAAATACAAATACTGAAATAAATAGTACAGCTAGGTAATTGACTGCATATGTAAACTAGCTCTAGATAATTGACATGACCTTCATTTAATGAGCCTCCTTCCCATTAGTGGAGACGACTGCCACAATTATGTGCCCCTATTGTAGCTGTAATTGTGTGGACTTTATTGAAGTACAAACTAGGTCACGTCTTCCTGAGATCTGGTCCATGGTGGGTGACCTTTTTTTCATTGCTTCAGCTTGGCTATGCACATGAGAGAAGGAAGGATGTTCTTGCAGCTGTGAGAATGGATCGTGTTCAGGAACCTGGTCTCAAATGTGATTTCTGATAGAGATGTCTTGTGTGACCTGAGGGAGTAGTTTAAGGCTAGGTCTCAAGGATGCTAGCATATATCCATGTTATACAAGTTAGTGGGTGTATACAACGGCCTATGGGACAGCAGTTGAACCAACATCCCTCTCCTAGAGAAGACTTTGATCCTTTACGCCCAGTGATGTAGCTGAACAGGAGGAGTCCTCCAGTTAAGAAGTACTCAGCGCTGATGAGTGTCCACGGGAAGTAGTTACTCAGTCTACCAGGGTAGCATCAGGCATGTGTATACACAGAAATGCTGAGGCATCTCCATGCAAGGCCTTATTGTGGTGGATGTGCCCAGCATGGAAAGCGGCAGTGCCTTGCTCAGTAGTAGCATGCTGTGAAAACGGGAAAATGCAGCTTTCTCCCATGTTCCCACCCCAGTTCGCTTTCACATGGAATGACATGGTGATTGCCTTGGAATTGGAAGGGTGTACGTAATCTGTTAGTGCTTGGGGTTTACAAGGCACTTATTGTAACAGGACAGGCAGTATCTTTAATCTTTGCAATATAAGGTTTGATAGTTGGGGAGCAGAAGAGAAGGGCTGGAAGCTGCCATCCGAAGTGTTTCCAGTGACCTTTTTGGTGCTACATTGGGATATTAGCCCTGCCTCACTAAGTAGGAGATGAACCGTGCATTCATGAGTCAGTTCAAGGGTAGCTGAAAGGTTGTGTGTTTCTACCCATGAAGTGAGATTTAAATCTTATTCTGGTATAGCATGTTAAACTAGTAGATTTTGAGCAGCTGCTAGAAATTGCTATGGCCTCTAAGATGAAGAGATTTCCTAGGTGTTAAATATTATTTCCTCATATTAAATCACTTGATATCATTTTGCTGCCAAAGACAAGGACCGTGTATATTGCTTAAGTCACTGTCAAGATAGAAGAATTTTTTCACATCCTGCTCACACAGTTTGGCTTGGTCTGGAACTCATTTACAAAAGCAGTAGATGTTTGATCTGTGTTTGCTTGCTAGCAATATTCCATGCGTCTGCGCTCCTAAAGCTTACTTTGACATAGTCCTTTGCTGTTATAAATGGGAGGAAGAGGAGTGGCTTTTAGGGAAACACATTTTCTTGTGTATTTTCAGTATGTTATGTGGATAATAGCAGTCTTAAAGTTGTTGGTGTTCAGAGCCTAGTTGTACGCCGTTTCTTGCTACCCCAGATAATAGCAGCGGTTGTATGTCATTAGATGGGATGTAAATTGATCAAGCTTGACAGCAGTTTCCTTCCTAAATGGAATGCAAAATTGATTAAGGAAGGATTAATTTAATGTGAGATATAAAGTGCTGTTAGCTCTGGTGACCAACTAGCCATTGGTGGAGGATGCTGAGAGCTTATTGAAATCAATTGGTGAGGTTTCTCTGCACCTTTCTGTCCTGCATTCTTCCTTGTACGAAAAATGTCCATGTGAACCAAGTTGCGCAGCCGCTATTCTCTTCATTTCACATCCCTCCAAGTTCATTGCTACCATGAGAGGTAAACAGCCCAATGACAATGCTGAAGGATGTGGCGTGGTCCAGGAATCTTTCTACCCTTTGTTTACCTACCTAACTTCAAAAGCAAATGTTGAGCCTCCAACTGGTGTACTTAGCTGATGGGCGCAAGCTTCTTTCTGGTTTGTGCTTGTCTTGGTGCCTCTGGTGTTGTGTCCTCTCTCTTTTGCACTGGAAGGCCCTTTGGGGTGCTACGTGCTCAGACAGACTCCGTCCTCCAGAGTCAAGATACTGGCGGGGACCTCTGGGCACTACTCTAATAAAAATAACAGGAACTTGATCAGCAGCCAGAAGATCTGTGTTCTGTTCACTGCTCTGGTGGTCAAAAGTGTGATGTGGGTGTTTAGAATTTTTTTTTTCCTTTTAAGTTTTATATAAAACAATTCTCCAAAGAGGGGGTGTATGAATATTATTATTTTTGTTGCCTGTTTGCTGGCTCTGCATTTGTATGCTAGCTGAACCACCCCTTCTTCCTCTTGTCTCTCCTTGTTTGCTAAAGGAAGACTGATAACCTTCTTCCTTGTGTTGTAAATCATCTCTGTAGTGTCTCTCTTCCTCCCCTTGGAGGAAAAAATCTGGTATTACTCCCTGCAGAATGCTTTAAAACTCCTAGGATGAAAGAAACCTGCAAAATATTAATGTTCTGCATGGTTAGAGCAAACACTATGTTCCTGTGAGTCACAGATGTCAGGTTTGTTTAATCTTAATAAATCTATGCCACAATAACACTTTTAAACAGGAAGAGAGATGGAGGGATGAAGGAAGAGTTGTGCTGGGATAGAGAGGATTCTTAGCCAAAATCTTGTTCTGTGCAGGGCTGGCGATGAAGGAGGCATGGACACAAACCCAAACACTTCCCACCACCACCACCCCCAACCCACTTCATTAAGTAAACTTTGAGACCTACATTTTGGGTACTGCCTTTCTAGTACATATTTCTTTTTCTTTGTATGTTTTATGATAGATTGTCTTTCCATGTTCAAGTCTTAAGAGTACTAGTTTCCCACAGCATATTTGCAGGAGATGAAGTAAAGCTTTTTACATAGCACCCTGTTGGCAAACAGAAATAGCATTTACTCCAATGAGCACTGCCAAGTATGAGGTACTTCCGAATGAACTTCAAAAGCTCTGAAACAAGCATTAGCTGCTGCTTCAAAAATGTGAACAATGCCATTGCTTTCTAGCAAGCAGAACTGGTGAGAGCGGGGATCGGAAGGAGGAAAAATAACAACTGAATGTGATGAATGTTGTAGTAGCACTTGGGATCAGACAGAACGTATAGCTCTCTGTCACTGCAGGATTTGTTGGGTTCTTGTTGTAATAGTACCTAAAGTGTGTACTCTGCACTTGAGGAGGAAACAGTTTCTACCCTGAGGAACGTGCAATCTGTGGAGACTTAGCAAAGTGCTTGGGAAGGAGCAGTCATACAAGCCCAGGCTGTTGGGAGTGCTGATTCCAAGCCTGGTGAGGAGTT